TTTTATCCTCTGACTTTTTACTATCTTCTGTGTCACTCCCCTATGCACTCCAGACTCAGACTACTTATGTTCCTTAAAGACTGAACTACAACTCACCTCCAACCAGTAGTTTTTGGTCCTTCTCAGTTCCTCACTTGCCTCTCAGGTGTAGTAGTCTTCCCGTTTAGCCCTGCTTGAACACAGTAGTCCTGCTTTCTTGTTGTACCATCTCCTTCCCTTCTACACATACTACAGTTGCTATCTAAATCTTGCTTTCCCTCCCAGTCTGTGCTGTCCTTTCTCTGTTAACACTGCTGTGCTACTGCCTGTGGGCCAAGTCTTGTTCATGGGTGTCGAGGCAATCACCAGTCACCAAACATTACATAGTTTCCGCATTTCATATCATTTGTCGAATTTCCTGCCATGATAAGCAAACTCTTTTCTTTCTGCAGCATCTAGATCTGCCTCTGTTCCATTAGCCAGAGAAAATCCAAATGTAGCTTACAAAAATATGTTGATTTAAAAAAACATTCTGTACTGTTGCCAAAATCAGTATGTTGATTTAACAAAATCCTGAACAGCCAATGATTTCTATTGATATGATCATCTTGGAGAGCGACTAATTCCAAAGTGGTTGCTTGAGATCTCAGCCCTTGAAAATCAAGCCACTAATTTAGGTTTCTGAATTTGGCATTAGGAGTCTAATTTAGGCATTCAGTTTTGAAAACCTTTTCTACCATATATAACTTACCTATTTTCAGTTGAAAAGTAGATCAAAAACAGAAGAAAGAGGTTGTGACTCATACACAGAACTAATGCATGTATCTTACTTCAGTTCCTTGCGGTCATGTCTACACACATAAAATACAGACACTCCCACTTGTGTATCTATTTGTACTTAAACTGATGACAATTGGATATAATCTCAATGCATCATTTCTCAGAATAAAAGCTGTAGGGCTGAAGCTCACTAAAAGAACAATACAATACTTTTCTCAAAGATATGATTACCACATTAATCTATTTTACTTTCTTAAAAGGAAATATATTTTTAAATTAAGTTCAGTTAAAATAATTTTATTGGAGCATTTCTTAAGCTGTATTTTAGGTGTTACCACTGTCCATTTTTTCCATCAAGTTTAAGCAACTTTTATTAATTCTTTTTTAACCTAACTGTATTCATTATCTTTTTCCTTCTCATAATTTTACTGCTTTAACTAGCAGAAGGTGAGTGCACAACATTAATACAAGGAACTAATAAATCAGCAATGCAGTTCCTTATATTGTGGTGTCCATATGATGGTTTTTCTGTCTTTTAGGTGAAAGCAGTCAAGTCAGGGCATATCCTGGTTATTGATGAGGCAGACAAAGCTCCAACAAATGTTACCTGTATTTTAAAAACTTTAGTGGAAAGTGGAGAAATGATTCTGTCAGATGGGAGGCGCCTTGTTGCCAGTAAGTAGATAGATATCAAATGCTTTTATCGTTTACAGTAAAACATAGCATGTTGCACTGTTTTAGCAGTTAAATCTAAGTATAACCACAGAGGAGTCTGAGTGGAAAAATATTTGCCGTTAAAAGGTCAGTTATTAAAAGTTTAAAGGGGGAGGGGTCTTCTCCACAGAATACTTGTGTAAAAACGCCTGTGAGGTACCATGTTTGTGGTTTAAAGATCACCTGTAAAATTACTAATTTTATGAGTTAAAAGGGGTTTGTTTGTTTTTTCTAACTAGGAACCCTACAGTTTCACTTGAGATTTTATTTCTCAAGTCAAGTTTCCTCCTGCTTATTCATTACCCCTGGGATTAAAGATCTAGACAACCAAATTATCTTCTCAGGTCCATCTATGTGTTTCTGTTGTCCTGGGCAAATCCTTACCTCTTATTTGGCAATTAGAGAAATCTTTTGTGTGTATAATTCTCTCTTTTTTTTGAGAGAGAGAGAGAGAATATGCCATCCAGTGAAAGTCACTGAGAAAATTACACATGAAACGTAATGTCATTTTAGAATCACTTCTCAAAATGGAACTATATTTGAAGTACCTTTTCAGTATTAATGGGTATGGTGTGTGATGCAAATAATTATATCATGTTTTTCTTTACAGATCAGGAGTGTAGTAATCTTTTGAATCCAAATGCTGCAATTCTATAATTTTGTGACATTACAAAACACTAAGTTGGCATTTTAAAATAATGCTGTCTAGTTGTCTTGATACTTATACTAGTTTTGTAGCTGAGGGGAGAAATAGTAGAGTGACATTGGAGAAATGTTACGTGGAAACTGGGAGCAAAGACACTAGCTTGGATCACTCCTGTTATATGGATCCTGTGACATATGGCTGTGGCTTCTTGCAGATTCCTGATGATCTCCACCTTGATGGCCAGGTTTTTCTGAAGGAGGGCAAACTCTGACCCTCTTCTTGCTACCCCAGATACAGCAGGATGTAGAAGTGTCCATAAAGGCTTTTTCCCTGGGTTATTTCCTTTACCTGAGTTTGTCTCCTCACACATTTGACTGCAGACATGGGTAGCTGTGATCTTGAGAGACTGATTGCATTCTTGACTGTAGAACATTCTACCAACAGATTCAGATTCCATCATTTATGATAAAAAATAATTACAGTCAGGTGATGAGGACCCTTGTAGTTTGGCAACATGCTAATAAACTAAGAGTTTTTTGCTAGATGATGTTGCCTACTGGTTTCGAAGCTAAAATATTTTCTTTAAAATATTTGTGTTTTTTCTAGATCCTGCTACTGTAGATGGGAGAGAAAATGTAATAGTAATTCATCCGGATTTTAGAATGATAGTTCTAGCAAATAGACCTGGATTTCCTTTCTTGGGAAATGACTTTTTTGGCACCCTAGGTAAGTGATTTGCATGAAACGGGGAGCATCCTAAATTATATTATTAATGAAATTGGTATGCAAGATCCAAGATTTCTTTTTTTTCCCTAAACCTTTTCATGAAAAGAAGAGTGGGGAAATCTTAGGCAGTTTTATTACCTCCAGATCAGTTCTTGTCCGTAACATAATGAAGGAGGAGGGAGCAGGGGAGGGCGACCAGGACCATCCCAACCAAGGCTTTGTCTAGCCAGGTCTTAAAAACCTCCAAGGATGGTTTATTCAGGCTAAAACTTTCAGAAGTGATTAATGACTCTGACTGTCTCAATTTTGTGTGTCTGAAAAACAGAGACCTTAAAAGTGACCTGATTTTTCCCATTAGATCAAGGATTCAGTACATTCTGCAAGCTTCCAGGATTTTTTCAGTTATATGAGCTCTATAAAGTGAATGGTATATAAACTTTAAGTAGTATTGGTACTATGCCATCATTTTCGAATGTTTTTAATGCATGTTATTGTGCTTTTTTTATTTTAGGGGATATTTTTAGCTGCCATGCTGTTGACAATCCCAAACCACAGTCAGAGCTTTCTATGCTTAAACAGTATGGTCCTGATGTTCCCAAGCAAGTCCTTCAGAAACTGGTAGCTGCTTTTGGAGAACTGAGGAGCTTGGCTGACCAAGGAATTATTAACTATCCTTATTCAACCAGAGAAGTTGTGAATATCGTAAAACATTTGCAGGTAAAGTATACATAATCTGGAATTCAGAACAATAAAACAAATTAAATGAGTAATAGTGAAATATAATTTTTGAAAATCCTTCATATGTTGTAGATTAAGGATTAAAAAAAAATTAAAGTTTTGAATTAAAGGATTCATCTGACAGCTGCATACCTGTTATTGTATATTACCTGGTCAGATAGTATGTTGGTGGGGTCTTATCAGTACCTAGGTAGCTAATTTTTTTGTGGGTGTATAAAGTATGCATGTTTTTATTCTTTAAAAAAGCCTGTGTGTAAGAGGATGAGAAATTGAAAGTCTGATGCATCATTCATATTGATGTACTATATTTACTCGATTCTAAGACAAGATTTTTTCCCCAGTCAGCATGGAGGGAAAAAGCCCCTTGGCTTAGATTTGCCTACAAAGAAGGGTGAAGGAGATGGCCAGAATGAGACCCACAGCAGCTTCCTGCCCTGCCCCTTCTATGTCCTGTCTATGCTTCTTCCCCGTCCCTCCCCCACCCTTCTCCCAAGGGTAGGGCTAAGATTCAGAGAGAGATCTAGACAAATTGGAGGTTTGGACCAAAAGAAATCTCATGAGGTTCAATAAGGACAAGTGCAGTCCTTCATTTAGGACAGAACAATCCCATGCACTGGTACAGGCTGGGGACTGACTGGCTAAGCAGCAGCTCTGCAGAAAAGGACCTGGGGGCTATAGCAGACAATAAGCTGAATATGAGCCAAGCATGCCCTTGTTTCATTTTAATCATGGAAAAATGTGGACTTTGGATAACTTTTTTAAATTCGAGAAAACCAGGATCCCTGCTCATAAGTCATGTCCCCCAGCCCCCTCACCATTTTTGTTGCACTCTGCTGGACTGCCTCCAATTTGTACATCCTTTCTGTAGTAGGGGGTCCAAAACTGAACACAGTACTCCAGACATGGCTTCACCAGTGCTGAATAGAGGAAAATAGTCACTTCCCTTGATCTGCTGGTAACACTCCTACCAATGCAGCCAAGTATGCTGTTGGCCTTTTTCACAACAATTTGTCGAGGTCTCTCTGAATCCTAGCCCTACCCTCTAGTGTATCTACTACTCCCCCCAGCTTGGTGTTTTCTGCAAACTTGCTGCGGGTGCACTCCATCCCATCTTCCATGTCACTGAAGATATTGAACAAATCCAGGTTTATACACTCCTTTTTCATTTTTGGCCCATGAACAGGCTTTCATTTCTAGCAGTAGCAATTTCTGAGAACTTCCCCCTCTCCCCTGCTTCTTGTGTCTTCCTGAGACTGGGGTAATCCTGATCTGGGGAAGGCATGGGAAGCAGTGGTTGCTTTACTCCTCCCATTCCTGGAGGGGAAGGTATTAGAGAGGCATGGAAAGACTCCGGAAACCTCCTCAGACTACGGATACTTAGGTCTGGAGAATGGGTCTTTCCCCAATGCACCACTCCTTCCCATAGATAGGGGAGAATGGGAATGGGGCAAAACCCCCAGCCTGTTCCCCCAGATCAGGCAGTCTCTGGTCCAGGAAAGTGCGGAAGGTCAGAGTGCATGGCATCTGGGTTGAAAACTGCTGATTTAGACTAGCGATAACATAAAAGTATACAGTATAACAGTATACTGGGCTGCCTGAACTAGGGAGATAAAAGCTAAGGTTTCATACTAAAGCAGCTTGTAACTGAATTGTTAATAAGTGAAGTATAAAGATTTATGAATGAAGATCTGTGAGCAAAGCATTAGTCAGAACACAGAGATTTACCAAAGTAATGAGTACCATTATCAAATTATTTCTGAAAAAGGAATTTGGCGGCCTGCAGTTCGTGACCACCTCTGTTCAAAGACTAGTGTATTTAGTGGAAAGAGTCTGGACTGAGCAAAGCCCTATCTTGGATTATTAAATTTTCATTCAACACAAATCTTTGAAAACCCAACATTTTGGCAGGAGGGCAACAATATTTTGTTTACAGTAGATTGTTTTTACAGCAATCACCTAAAGAAGGATGAGCCAAATGTAAACAGTTCGTGTAAACATAAACCTAATAGCTATTCTAGAGCAACAACCTTCCAGGTTTTCAGGTAGGAAAGGGTTAGAAGGAGAGGAAGGAGGGAAATGAGTCAATGAACGTTGCTGACTTGCAGGAAGGAAGGAGGGAAATTAGTCATATTGTTAAACAGTTTCCTTACAGCAGTTCCACAGCCCTGCTTTCTTTGTACTATTATTGGTGTTTTCTTTCATGTAATTTTGGAAAGTTTCTGCTTCTGCAGAAAGGAGCTAGATGCTAAGGCAATATCTTTGTTGTTGACAGATAACTTCTGAGTACCAGAGCCAGTCAGACTAGAGAGAATTCTGTATTCACTGTAAAGGCAAGGTTCTTTGGGTAGATGTGATATCTTTTATTAGACCAAATGAATAGTTGAAAAAAAGTTCTTTGCAAGCTTTTGAGCATATTAATTGATCGTTCAAATCTTTGCAGTCTGATTAAACATGGTTGCTAGCCAGTTAAAGCTAAGCCGTGCATTTATGGTAATTGAGTCGTAATCATATACTGATATGTAAGCCAATCAGAGTGCATAGAATTGTATAGCTCTTCCAGAAAGTCAGAGAACCTCTCAAGCCTAACACCTCATAAGGCTAACATTGTGTAGACACATCAGTTTATGTAACCAACAGCACACAAAGAAGTAGTGAGGCTCCCAGCTTTTCCCATCACCTTCAGTGGTGGCTGAATGACTGGGTACCATTTGGTTTGACTGGGGGAAGACTTTGGAATGTGCCTGGAGTGGGGCTTAAACCAAAATGAAACACTTTAATACCTCTTCCACCTTCCTCCAACACAGAAGTGTTAGCAAACTTATAAAGTGCTTTGCTGACTATTTGGAATCAAATAGATTTGGAATCTATTTACCATGCTCGTTCTGGTAAAACAGATTGGATGATGGAGTGCAACATTAGTAGCTAGGTTGTACATTTGTAATATAAGTTTAGGTAAGAAGGCAAACTTCAGGGCCTATAACAGCTGATTTAAAGAGCAAAACTCACTTACGGTTTTCCTTCTAGTTGAGGGAATGAAAACTGGGGCTTTGCTTACATTTGTAATACCTGCAAATTATTTTTCAATTTGATTTTTCTTTTGCTTGTTGACCTTCTGAAGGAGATTATAAAATTAGTCATTCATGTGTTTACCTTTCATAAAAACTTAGAACCATAAGAACTTTTAACCAAGTCACCATTGGTAATGGCTTTGTATCAAGCCAAGCAGCAAAGATACTCTGTAGGAAGCTGTTAAAAGCTAAAACTATGTTATTGATTGTTTTAAAAAATAATCAAGAATCTAGGAGTAAAATATGAAAGTCTTAAAAGGTGCACACAAATGTGTTACTTGTAAAGGAAAGAATCAGTGAATGAGAACCAGATGCATTAATGGAAAGTCAGTATTTTCTCCACTAATTTGGTTTTAAAAATCAATTTAAACCAAATGATTTATTAAGACATTCAACTTCACTGCTTCAGGTAAACTGTCACTGCCAGTCTTTGGTAAACAATTTTTTCATCCAGATATTAAAAATTGGCTGGATTTGTACTGTTCGAAGCAGTAGAGCTCAGTTGTTAAAAATGCAATTAACTTGAAAATGTTTTAGCAAGTTTTCTAGTCTAAAATAGTTTTTGTGACAGAGATGAACATCTGTCCCTAAAAAAACATGTAGTATAGTACATGCAAACCGTATAATACAATATTGGTACAAAAGACACTGTGATATCAGTTTGCTTCCCTGAAGTGAGAAATATTAATGTCAGAAGTTACAAAATAGTACAGAAGAGGTTAAATAAATACTTGGAACCAGTAGGAAAGATGTATAACATTTGAGTCAAATGGCCTTTGCAGAATCCAGAATAAGATAGCTGAATCAATATATGTTTAACAGAGAAGGCTAATCAGTTTTCAGTGTACTCGTTTCTGGAAAATTACTAAATAAATTAGTGCAAGTGTGTTGGGTATACTTTGTGATAAAGAGGAAAGGATCATAAAATCATTGTATTGGGTTCCTAGACCCTTATCTGTAGTACAGCTCTCCAATCAGATGTCACCATTTTGTATTTTTTTTTATTATTCTTCCTGAGGTGTAGTACCTCACATTTGTATAATAAATGGCAATAACTTAAATACCTCTATGTGCTTTTACTGTTGACAGTATGTACAGTGGATGTTTCTGCTGCTTATTTTGATAAATCTGTGGTTTATTTCCTATGCTATTTAATACTTATTCAGATTCTAGTATGGTGAAATTATTTCCTTCAAACATGTCAAATTTAAGGCCTATTTTGAAGGGTTCAAAATTTGGCCCTTGGGAGTTTTTGACGCTTCAAAGCGCATGCACATGCTTAATTATTCTACTAGATAGACATGCACTGAGGGGAAAAGTCTAGATCCTTGCCTCAAAGACCTTACAGCTGAAACAGACAGCAAATAAAGAAAGACTGGGAAATGTGAGAAATCCCTTCATGTTAGCTGAGTGGTTTGTTTTATTTACTTAATCATGGCCAATTGTGATTTTAGCCACATCACTGCTGTTAAATTAAATTAAAATTTAAATTATATGTAAAATTATGATAACCTGTATCATGGCCCAAGCTTACTATAATTTAGTACATTTTTTAAAAATTTGATTTGCGTAGCTTAGACCATGCTTGTTTGCTGCCAGAGGTTTTTTTAAAAAAGGCACAAATGACCTGGCAAAATTTACTGGCAAACCACCTGGAACCAATATACTTTTGTAGTTACAGACATAATACCATCTTTATTTTAGTTTATTCAACTAATGCACTTTGGTGGCAGACACAGTCAAAGCTGGGAAATCAGTGCTGTTGGAAAAGCAAAGAGCTTGTTTTCTTTTTCCAGTCCAGGTTTGTCCAGCTTTTAAGTGGCTAGCCACGTACCCCACAGGCAGCACCAGCAGGGACTGTATACCACATGGGCCTCACTAGTGCAAGCCATGGACCGCCCAGGCTCCCCACTGCCCAGGTGTCCCCTCTGCTGCCCTGCATACATGTCCTCACCTCATCCTTAGCTCCCCAGCTCTGGGCTCTCCCAGTGCACCAAACCATGTGCTTCACTGGCACCATAGGCTATGCTGCTTCATTCTGCCCTGCCCTGTCCTTTGGGGCAGTGGCAAGAAGCCAGAGGAGGGAGGGGGGAGCCCAGAGGCCCTGGCTGCTGCAGGAGCCCATGGATCCACAAATTAACCCCTTATGGGCCACATAAGGACTCTGGACTACCAACTGGAAAGTTCCAATCTATGAGTAAATCTGAGGAGTAAAAGGATGAGATCAACTGTTTCTAAAATTTTGAAGGGCCATTTTTTATTTAAAGACCCCCAAGGTAGGTGAGAGTACCACCTCCCTTGGAAGACAGTTACAGGACTGGCTGCGACACGAGGGTGCTACAGTGCTGTCTAGAACCGCCCTATAGCACTCTCATGCCCCAGCCAGCCCCTCTGCATCACATTGTGCTGGGTAGGAGCATCCCTGGGTTGGCAAGCTGGCTTTCAGGGCCCCCTGCCAGCTGGGGCTGTGTCACGTGGCTCAACACGCTAAGGTCCTAGGCGCATGTGCAAAATGCTGTGCCTGGGAGCAATAAACTTGGACGTGAACTGCGCCACAGTTTATTGCGTCACATTACTATTATGTGACTATCTTAAAAAACAAGAAAAACAGTGATTGAAACAGTCTGTTAAGGTTCAGATCACTAATGACAGTGTTTTCTTTGTTGTAAATGCAGAACAAAGGATAGGTTTTTAAAATATGTATTTAAAACTTCCTTATGTACAGCCTAATTTCCTGCAATATCTACAGCATGGCATGAATTACAGAAAGAAAAGTAATGCCCTAGTAAATAAATGCATAATTCAGTACTTTGTAATCCAGAAGTTAAAATTAGGAATAATAAAATTAGGAATAATCTGTTGAGTAATGTATTTGATCAAATGAATTATGTAAACATAGTATTGATGTAAATATTTTCCTGGTTAGGCCAAAAAACTACCAGGTTTAATGTATAGTTAGCTTCAAATCAGTAAGTTTTAATGGTTACCAGCCAATAAAAAAAGCTCTTTCTTTAGGAAAATGATAAAGGTATGAATACAACATGAGATTAAAAATGATTATTTAAATCACGGCTTCTGATGTAAAGATTCAAGATTATGGTCAGTTACTTGTATCATTTTGATATAAATCAACCACCTGTTCTTTTGAGGAAATAAGTATACCATTTTTCCTATTGTTTATGACAGGTAGGCCTATCATTTCTTTCTACTGATCTTTAGCAGTTTAATTGTACAGACTCGCTATAACAAAGCATGTTACTATATGCAGTAATTTAGGAGGGTAATTAGAGTAATTTTTGGTTTTTGTTTCTTTGCAGAAATTTCCAACCGAAGGGCTTGCAGATGTGGTACGAAATGTATTTGACTTTGACTCCTACAACAATGAAATGCGTGAGACTCTTATCAATACTTTGCACAAACATGGAATACCTATTGGAGCAAAACCAACCAATATACAGCTGGCTAAGGAGTAAGACTAACATAATTTAAATTAAGAAGACTGATCTCTCAGCCATTTTTCACACTGTTATGTTGCTGCTAATTGATTAAGAACATCCTGGGATACTTGAAGATAAATCCTATTTTGGCTGAAGTTTTATTTTCTAGAAATAAATTATGCCTGACAGTCAGATATAACTGATAAATGAAGTGCTTATTAATTACTAATATTTCATCTTTAACATCCATGTAAACTTTGATAGCTTGTATGATAAACAGATACAACAAAATAAAGGGAAATATTTGTTTCTTTCTCCTTCTGTGTTTTTATTGAATTACTGCTCATTTTTCTGTTATTTACCATACAAATTCCATTTTTCTCTGATAGATGCAGAAATTAGTACTTAATCTTCTCAAACGGCAACATAACAGCAGTTCTGTATAACATAATACTTAGTAGGCAACAAGAATGGTTGTATTTATTTGTCTACATAACAATTATTTTTTAATAATCAAAGCTGTTGACTGAACTTGTTACACTGTGTACTTTTGGAGAGGTTAGATCCAAAATAGCCAAGTCATTATAAGAAACTAAAATATGAAATCACAACTGATTTGGTCTTTAAGCCTTTACGTTTCACATAGATAAATGTATTTTTCTTTTTAGGTGGAAATTATTTGATGATTAAATCATATTTAATAAAGTAGTTTTTGTTTTTAAATCTTATTTTGTGATGTTTTGAAAATGTAATATCTTTGAAGGGTTCTGTCAGAAAAATGAAGCCATTAAACTAATTTGAGAACTCTTAATCTGGAAACAAATATTTCCCTTTTATGATGAAAACATAGGCTATATTTTAAGAAAACTTTGCTTTACTTATGATAGGGTTTTTTTATATTTGCTAAGAAGCAGCTGAATTTACTCCTTTGGCAAAATGCTGTGATATCAGGTGTTTGTACAGAATTCTCATGTAGGGGCACCACTATAAACTATAATCATGCTTAGCAACCTACATAGACATTTTGAAAGAAGGCTGGCAATATAATGACTGTGTCGAAACTTTTCATCTTGATGATTGAGGAATTACATGCTTAGGGAACTGATGCTTGAGTAACTACCATATACTGCAAGATGACAGTGTACAGTATTCCTGAAACTGTTGTCAATGACTCCATAATTTACTTCCTTAATATCATTTACTGACTTGAATTTCAAAGGCTTACAAGTGCAATTCAGTTCGCTGGTTCAGATTTGAACAAGGTATTTAGAATATTAAATCTACAGTGAGCGTGTCTACACATGCATTTACACCAACTTAAATTTACTGCACAGTAAATGGGAATAGGCCAACCTCTACATATGCAGGCATTAAAGAGCATTAACGCTGTGTGTGGACTGACTTGAGATTAAAGTTAGTCCCAAATCAGTCCACACACATATTGTTACTGTGCAGTAAGGTGTCTACACATGCATTACTGCATAGTAACTAATTGGGCGTAAATTTGATATCTGCATGACACAGGTATCAATTTATGCTCAGGTTGGTTAAGACACCATATTTATTGCACAGTATAGGCATTTGTGTATAGATGCGTCCCCATCCTGCACAGTAATTTTGGTTACTGCACAGTAAATGTGCATGTGTAGACATGCCTGGTTTGTTCTTGTGGGCTTTGAGATTATCCACAAATGTTCATATATGGATTATATGCAGTGATTGGATACAGGTTTTCAGCCCACAATGGATAAAAAGGTCTGACCACCCATTCAGATCCTGTCCTATGCTGTTCTTCCACAGAGCTTGCAACTGACATGTCTAGAGTTTAGGTTTGGCCCATCCTATGTTTTTAAAGTGTACAGGAAATTAAGAAAGAACGAATGATGTTGGTTAGAGTCAGGCTAAATACGTCTAGGTAATAAGGCAATATCTCCACAGAGCTTTGCAGGTGTACCTCAGGCCTGATGTGAAAGACTACTGGTAAATATGATTAAATTGCAATATGGTTTGTGAAATAAGCAGGTAGAGGCTAGGATGAGACCACTGAATTTCTTTTCATGCATGTCCTATCCATTTGATATTCAAGAGTCTGACAATCCTGGCAAATTAGGAAACAATTTTTGCTGTAATTATGAACAGTTAGAATCTATAAACTATTAGAATTTGGTTGGTTGACAGGTGAAAGTTGATATACCATCTGAGTTGTATGAGATTTCTACTGTGTGCATTAACATATATATACTGGATAGCATAATTTGGCTGTTTATTTTAATATGCTAAATTGTTTGTGTTTAGCATAGGTTAATTTTTATATCTAACCTAAATCCTTCAAGCCAAAGTGTGACGGCAGCACGCTGCCGTCACGGGCACAAGGAGAGGTGAGGAAGGGCTGCAAGGCAGACAAAACCCCGGAACAGAACCCCAGAGGGGGTAACTTACCTCCAGGAGACCCGGCAGTGCTGGAGCCAAGACCACAGCGGCAAGTGCAGCCGCAGCTACAGCCGGCATTATGCCGGCTATTTAAGCAGCTGTTCCCAGTAAGGGAAACAGCTGGGCCAATCGTGGCGGCCGATATGGCTGCTGCCGGAAAGTTTAAAATCCCCAGCAGCACCCGAGGGGAGGGGGAGCCAGAGAGAGAGAGAGAGAGAGAGCAGACAGCAGACAGCATGTCTGGCGTGCTGAGGCTCCTGCCGGGCAAAGGCACCAGATAGGCTGTGCCGCACCAGCACAAGAGGCAGGAGAAGCCTCTAAACCACAAGCCGAGGAAAGCAAGGGGAATGACAGGGCACCCTGCATTTGCCAGCACTGCCCCTAGGAGAAATAGAGGCAGGGACAGGTGCAGAATCCCATGGAATCCACTGGGTAAGGGAAGGCAGCTCTGGGAGCAGCCCTACCGAAAGGAAATATTACTTCTAGGGAAGTTAGGAAGGAAGGATGCTAAGCGATATCAGGAGAGTCAGAGAGACAAGAGGACAGGCTGGCAGAGCTGTACAGCTAAGTCCGAGTCACTGCATTGGTGAAGCCAAAGGTGGGAAAGCCCGCAGAGGACCGAAGGTCACCATCCCACCAGCACGTGATCAGTTGGTGAGTGGACGGGGTGTAGGGGTGGCAGAGCCCTGCGGAACACCGTAGGCAACAGCTGTGAGTACACCCGTGTCGGGGAACCCCTCTGATAAGAACTCCACTGGAACCCTCTCACAATAATATACCAGCAAAGTTGTGGCAGGCGGGACGAGGGGAGGGGCTACCTAACCGACAGGTGGCACTAGCCATAAGACCTCCAACATCACACAAAGGATATATACAAACAGGAATTATCTCACCCACCAGTGGAATGTGATGGCTGTTATTTATCATTTAGGGAAACCAAAATATTTGAGGCTTATGAGTAGCACATAGGAATACTAGACAGAAGTTTAGGACAAGAAATGCCGACTGTTGTATCCAATTGAAAGGGTAGGAGCAATTTTAAGTAAGCAGGGTGAGGTTACCCATAAAGTTATGGCATACTAATCTACTCAATTCCCCAAATTCTTGCACACTATGGGTTATTATGAAACTCCCCACTTGTCATAGGTCTTGATCTCCTAGTAATCAAGCCTGTTTTATTAAATCCCCATGTAAATTTCTCCCCTACAGTTTCACAGCTCTGAGTACTGATATTAATCATCACTGTACGTGCTTCCTTTCTCAGACCTGGTTAAAGAATGTCTTGCATTCAAAAGCTTGTCTAACTTTATCCTGAACATGTAGTTGGTCCAATAAAAGGTAGCACCTAAAAATCCTTCTCTCTTATAATTCCTGGACCATCATGGCTACAGCATCACTCCAGTGTTACCCATATTGGAATTTTATCTAGGACTCTGGAATTAAATATATTCGTGCTCATAAAAAAGTTAGGAAGGCCCTAGCAGTCAATAAAAAAAAATCCTATAACAGCGGCATTTGAGAGAAGTTATCAGCATAGCTTTATAGACTCTTACTCCATTTATCAATATAATTAAATTAATTGTAAACATTTTGTTTCTCCTCTCCACTTTCTCCATCCCCCTACCTTAGTGTCAGATTTGCTGTAAAATTTTGAGGCAGGTTTTCAAGCTGAAGGAATCAAGAGACCTCAGAGAAATTGAGTGTGTGTTCAGAGAAACATCTTTTGGCAATGCTTACCATATTTGTTCTTTTTTAATTTGTTCTCATCCAGCCATTGAATGAATAGTTTTCGTTGCTTCAAAGGTCTTGCATAAAGGCAATACAATATCATGTAGTAGTGTCAGTGAGTACCAATAATTATCTGTTGCTTTGCAAAATCATTTTTCTCTTTTTAAATTTGGCTGGTCTCTTTAGTTTCATTTAGCAAGTGTGGAAAAAGAAATAATACCACACTATTGCTGTGTTGCCCATTTACTTAATCATATCTTATCCCAGTTTCCTGTTTTCTCAATTAAGTAATGCTTTCCCACTTTAATCATCTTGATTTTCTCACTTTAATCATTTTTCAATTCCCTTGTCTTTTCTGAGATCGTATGACCACTATTCAAAGTATGGAATGTATTGTTTAATATCTCCTTTTTAAAAGCAGCCTAACATCTTATTTGCCTTTTGACAATTACTCTGATTCAAGCCTATGGCTTCACTGTCCTGGCCAATTTTTGCCTAGAGACTATGATGATACAAATAAATATATCAGAATAATTCAAAACCTATTCAGCTAAATGATACCTGCCTGTCAGCATGTTACCTTGTGTTTGCTGATTTAATCAGCCATTGATCTGTGGAATTGTCCTATATACTAGGTCCTTTTGGAGCACCAAATTTTGCATTCATTCAACTGTAATTTGACTAAGATGAAGAATATCTTATTTGCTATGTTGTCAGTAATATTGTTGCTCCTTCTTCAACCACCTAGCTGCCCATGTCCCCCCAGCCCACAGATGTTTGTTGTGGTGATTTTTATTATAATTAGTTGTGTTTCCACAGCAAAGATTATTTTGCTTTTTTCATGGAAGTATGACTGCTAAATTTTGTCTCCTGA